AAAGGGGGAAGCTGAACGCTGATGTAATCTCAATAGAAGCCTCAGTTGATCCTAGCATAGGTTTTTGTTTGTTTGTTTGTTTTTTATTGTTTTTGTTTTTTATGATATGGAGTTTAAACTCAGGGGCTTGTGCTTAGCTTGCTAGACAAACGCTCTACCACTTGAGCCACACCTCCAGCACATTTTTCCTTTGATTATTTTTTCAGAAAGGGTCTTGGGCTTTTGCTTGGTGCTGGCCTCAGACCATGATCCTCTTACTTCTGCCTGTAACTTGGATTACAGGTATGCCACCACACCCAGCTTGTTCTTTGACATAGGGTCTCACTACCTTTTTGTCTGGCTAGCCTCAAACTGTGATTCTCCTATCTCCACCTCCTTATCATAGTTTTGAAAATGGGATGTCCTTTCAGTACTGTACAGAGGTGGAGTGAAGGGGCCAGGCCTTTACACTGAGGGGATGATCAACTTGATATAGATGCCCCAGGAAGTGGAATAAAGCAACTCCCATTGCTTAGCCTTTGACGAAAGGCAATTCCCAGAGAGGAAGTTATCTGAGAGCAGTCGACCTTCCACACCTCAGGAAAAAATGGTACCTAGATTTTTTTTTGACAGTCCTGGGGATCAAACCTTGGGCCTTCCACATGCTAGACAAGGGCTCTACTACTGAACTACACACCCCTGATACCTAGATTTTCAAGGGGGGTCTGAATGACACTTCCAAAAACCAAATGACTCACAAGCCCTTCGTGATCTGTACACGTTCATCCCCTGCTCATGGAATGTCTCGCCCTGGAAGTCTCCCCCACTTGTACCGGTCCCATTTGTCTGTTGGCAAATCCCCACTAATCCTTCAAATTACCCTTGAAAGTGCCTCCTCTGAGAAGTCTCCCAGGACTACTCTTGCAGACTCAGTGGTTCTCCCAGCATGGGGGTCAGACACATGAACTATGGAGCCAGGATTTGAATCCCACTTGCTAGCTGTGTAATCTAACACAAATGCAAATGATTTAGTCTCTCTGTATCTTAGTTTCCTTGTCTACAAAATAGGAGTAACCATAGTACTCTAACCTCACAGGGTGGTTATAAGGATTAAATGAGTTAATGTGTGCAAAGTTAAAAACTGGCCTAAATAAAGCACTGTTGCAATTGTTGTCAGTGAAGATGCTGAGTGTGCATTGTTGAAGGCATACACGATGGAAGGAGGGAGGCACTGAGAGAGACAGAGTGCAGAATATTCAGGGACTGTTGAGTAATCCCATCTGTCAGAAGGGGAGTAATAGCCTTATGGGCACATGTTGGGAAGAGTTTTTAATGTCACAGTAAAGTGTGTGCATCTTATTTGGTAAGCAGTAAGAAACAATGACAGAGTTTGTCAACAGATGGGGAAAAGAGCCAAAGAAAGAGAAATTAGGTCAGGAGATAAGGGAGGTGGTGAGGTGACAATTACAGGTGAGGGTGCTGGGTTCAAGTGTGGGATGTTGTTAGAAGAGGTGGGTGGTAGGAGCAGGGAGAATGGGTACAGGTGAGGGAAATGGCTTTAGAGAAACGTAGTCTGAACATCTGGAGAATGGAACGGGAGAGGCAGGTGAGGCTGATGGAGTCAGGGGAGGATTCCCAGAGACATTCTGGGAGTGGGGGAGATGAAGTGTGACGGAGACAGGTAAGGTTTATGGGGACAGGTAAGGAGCATGGGGTCAAGCGAATGGCAGAGATCGGTAATAAGGAGGACCTGGGAGCTGGAGCTGGGCCGGGTGAGAGCGTCCTAGGTCTGGAGGAGTGCAGAGAGGCGCAGGGCGGAACGTGATGTCAGAGAAAGGGCAGTGATGCAAGGGCCGGGGCGGCGGGGCGGTGATGTCAGGGCTGGTGCTGATGCTGGCGCGCAGTGCATTGTGGGCAGCTCCCCGCTCTGCCGCCGCCGCCGTCGCCCGAGGAGGATCGGGGCCGGGCCGGGCCGGGCCGGGATGGTCCGGGTCGGGAGGCCGCCGCCGCCGCCGCCGGAGGGAGCGGGCCGCCCAGCGCCGCACTGAGCCGCCCCCGCCCGCCCCGCCCGGCCCCGGGGGATGCGCCGCCCGAGCCGCTGCCTCCGCCGCCGCAGCCGCAGCCGCAGCGGGCACAGAGCAGGTGAGGCGGGCGGGGCGGGGCGGGGCGCGGCGGGCGGGCCGGGGGCCGCGGGGGCTCCCTGGGGGCTCATCGGGGCCTCGGGCCGGGCTCCCCTCCCAGCGCAGCGGGCTCTGGCTCCGCTCCCCACTGTCGCCGCCGCCGCCGCCGGAGCCGGGACGCTCTGGCCTACACAGCCTGGGCCGCAGCCCGAGGCCTGGAACCGCTCTCTGGGCGGCACAGACCCACCCTGGCCACCCGTCCTCTAGGGATTTTGCTCCTCACTACTCCCCTCCGACCCCATCCCCATGGTTTCATCCTGTCACCTCTGACAAGTCATTCAGCTGTCTTCAGACCCTGTCGCCCCCCTCCTCAGTCCCTCCATTCCCTCCCTCTAGTCTCTGTAACCTCTGTCTTCACTCCTCAGCTGTGCCCAGAAGCCACTCTCATGGCCCTCTCATCAATCATTTCTCACCTGTCTCTCTTACCCAACCCCCTTCTCTGATCCTGTCACTCCTCATCCTTTCTCTTCCCCTCTGCTCTCCTCCACAGCTCTTTACACCTGTTCCCATTACCCCTTCACTGGTCTGCTTCACCTCTCTTTATCTGGGCTCCCAGATTCCCACACGCACCTGGCTCACACCTTGCATAGCTACACATCAACACTTACGATGCATTCCAAGCACTTAGAGATATTGTCTCTCTCTCTCTCTCTCTCTCTCTCTCTCTCTCTCTGCACACACACTCATACCTGCAAAGGCTTTGAGAGACATTCACAAAAACCTGCCCAAACCCTGTCTCTTCCTACACATCCATGCCTCCACACGGCTCAAAGGGGCAGAAATGGGGTGCCAAGTTTCTCATGTTTGTGTCTTCCAGCCCAGCCTGAGTGTAGTCCTCTGGGGTAGATAGAGGAACGATGGTGGGTAGGGACAGGCAGGTCTCCCTTTCCCTACCTTGCCTGTTCCTATTAGGTCTGTCCATCTATGGGAACAGAACACCTACAGAATCTACCATCTCAGGACTGGAAGGCCCATCAGAGGTCACCCAGTTCAACTTTTTATTTTATTTAAATTTTGGCAGTAGTGCTGGGGTTTGAAACTGGGGCCTTGACCATGGTAAGCATGCATTCAACCACTGAACTACACCACCAGCCCAAGTTCAACTTCTGAAGGCTGCCTCCCTACCAGTTCAATTGCTCCGTCAGTCTCGTCATCAACTTGTCCCTCCACCCTTATTCCAGATGCCTTTCCATACCTCTCCCTCCATCCTGCCATTGCACTCCAAGTTCCTGATGCCCCGTATCCCACTTGGGCAGGAGGGGAGAGTGTGTGGACTGGAGGAAACAGCTCAGTTTAGTCATTTCAAGAGAGAGATGAGTGATAATGTCCTTCCCTGTGAAGATTCCTTCTGCACATGTCCAATCATGACCTGTTGAAGGATATCTCCATGTTGTCACATCCCACAATGCCCTTATCGGGATGTCTAGACACAAGAGCCCTGGGAGATTATCCCATCCCAAAGAAAGTCAGCAGTTCCCCCATCTGCAGACAGCTTTAGTAACTTCCTTCTTTTTCCACCTCCCTCCCATCCTCTGTCCCCATCCTAAGTAACTTCCTTCTTTGTCTTTTATGTGTGACTCCTTAGGGTCATAGTGAGGGCACAGCAGCTTGCATGTAAAAAGTGGAGGGGAAAGAGGAGAGGAGGTTCCAATTATGTGCTAGACTGGCAAAGACCTCAGACCTCTCCTGGCCCCTCACCTGCATACATGCACAGCACAGACAAACAGACACAAAAGCATACATAGAACACACAGACACAGACAGACATGAAGCAGCACACATAGACACCCTGACAGACACACAGGGAAAGACATGTACAGAGACACATGCAGACGCAGACTTACGCGCACACATGTGCCTAGTTTTGCCACCCCTCACAGTTGGGACTCTGTCTCTATCTCTGCTATCCCACTTCTATTCATCCGAATGCACCAAGAGCTGTGCTCCTTCTAGTTGATTCCTGAACAGACCCAGAAAAGTGTGGTCAGAGCCTCTCTCACACTATGCCTCTCCAGACCTCCCCATGTTTTTTGCTAGACTGCTCCCACTGTCCTGTGCTCCCCAATGCAGTCTGCTTTTGTCCTTCTGGACTGGGCACAGAGCTGCTGTCCCTCTGAAATCTGTGTCTTGAGGCCTTCATGTGTGCTCACCCCTGGCTTACATCCAGGCTTCCAGTCCTGTGGCTGTCAGTGGGGTCAGCTCCCCACGGGGAATAGTGTGAGCTGCTCTGCACTTAGCACTGTCCCCAGGAGGCTGTCGTGCATCTCCTCATTTTCTGGATTATCACATCTCACCTCCATAGATGGTTAGTTAGGAGGTCAGTTTGATGTGTCTCCCATGGGTTACTTCTTGGCCTGCAGGTCTTCCCTTTTCACCAAGCTCCATGGGCAGTTTGAGGCACAGGGAATGTGTGGGTGCTGGGGACCACAGATGAAGTCACTCAGGTGACTTCTTGAGCCAGGTCTCCCCTACCCAAGTGTAGGTCCCAGTCTGGCCTGTCCATCGGTGGAGTCTTCTGCACATTAGTTAGCATATGTCTCTTTGGTATATGTGCTTTCCTGGTGGCTGATTCACACATCATGGTCCTCTCCTTTTTTCATCACTTTGTGTGCCCTGTTGCTGATTCTCACTTCTCCAGTTTGCAGTTTGTATCTCCCTTCCACTGACCTCCATCCGAAGGAGTGCTTACCCCAGTAATCCCTGAAGCATCTGCCCAGTGGGCCCAGGAAGGATGCTGCTCCCTGAGTGGAGCTCCCTTCCATATCACAGCCCCTCCCCACTCCGCAGGTAGATGGCCCCCCCAGGGCAGGCCCTGCGGACACCCCTCCCTCCGGCTGGCGGATGCAGTGCCTAGCGGCTGCTCTTAAGGACGAAACCAACATGAGTGGGGGAGGGGAGCAGGCCGACATCCTGCCGGCCAACTACTTGGTCAAGGATCGCTGGAAGGTGGTGAGTGAATGACCCAGCAGGGCAGAGGGAGGAATCGGAAAGGAGGAGAGGACCTGGAGTCTCGTTAAGACAAGTGCTCTTGGCGCCCCTACCCTAAGAGGGAGGTGTCCCTGAGTTCATTTGCATATTGCTTGCTGGTCATTATTTTTGCCCACACATGTGGACAATCCCTTTCTCACAGTGCCTCCTCTCCAACCCCACCCCCCTCTCCTCCCTTTCTCGGAGAGATCACGTTGGTCGGGCCCAGCCTGGAACAACTCCTGGTTGGATGTCTGGGCAGGAGCTGCAGAGCCTGGTGTGCGGAGGAGGGAGGGGTGGGGGAGGGGACTCATGCTCTGCCGCACCTTGAGGAAGGGCAGTGAATGAGCGTGTGTTCCTCCGCCTCCGCGGAGGACGGAAAGGCTGGGGTCTGGAGAAAGAGGCTCTGCAGGCTGCTTCCATTGCAGCCGCACTCCATCTTCTCCATCCACCCTCCTTCCTTCGCTGGTTCCTGCGGCAGGTGCAACACGCCGAGACTCCATCTCCCAGAGTGCTTTGCTCCTCCGGCCCAAGACTTCAGGCTGTCCGGGCTGCTGGGAGTTGTAGTCGGAACCTCCTCGGGGAATTAGGACCTGGTTGGAAGGGGGCCAAGTGAGAGCTGGGGACATGACAGCACCTGGGAAATCAGATTTACTGTAAATCAGACCCCTACCCAGCCCGCCTTTCTTTCTGTCGCTTAAAAGCGCTGTGGTGTCCTCTTTACTGGGTGGGGGGCGGGATGATATGGGGCAGCAGGGTGGAGGAAACCAGTGTGTGAGGTTGTGGGGAGCCGGGAGGAGGGATAACGACAGAGGTCAGGTGTGTATGTGTGTGTGCGTGTGCCCTTGTGCTTTTGGGGGCGAGGGAGCCTCTACTTACCAAGGGTGCGGGGTTGGAGAGGAAGGTGAGGCCTGGGTGCAGGCGGGCCTCCATGGCAACTGTCATCCGGCTGCGCAGGTCACCTAGAAGTCCAGGGAGAAAGATTGGGGAAACAGGCAGGAGGCGTTTATGGGAAGAGCCTTCTAGAGCTCCCAGAGATGAGGAAGGGAACAATGTCCCAGAGCACTGACTTCCTGAGAGGGAGAGTAAAGGGATAGAAGTTGGGGGTGGAGCCAAGGCAGTAATAAAAGCAATAAGGGTGGGAAGGTTCCTTAGTGGGAAGTGAGACGTGACCCTCCAAGACCCTCTGGGTCCATGGCACGAGGGCTTAGCTTTTGGCAGATGGACAGCAGAATGTGCACTGATAAGGCAAGGAAAAGACAGCGTTCACACACACACTGAGCTGAGGCTAGACTTTCTTGTGCCTGTGAAGGGGTGGGGATGGGGCAAGAGTGGGAAGGGAGATGGTAAGGGGGAGTTGAGGGAGAGCAAGTGTGTTGTCTTTGCCAGGGTCCCCCATCTCTCCTTACCCCCGGCTTTCTATTCCTGCTGCTGGAAAACTAGAAAGGTTGGGGTGCCAGGTGGGCCCCTATTCTCAGTGAGGTATGGTACTGAGGTGGGAGGCAGAGCTCTGGACCCAAAGACAAACTTCCCAGAGATGGGCTTGGCCAGGAAAAGATGGGGTCAGTGGCATTTGGTGGAGTATCTAGCAGTGATAAATTTTATCCTTGGGTGGTGCTTCTGAGAATCAGAACAGCAATTTCAGGAGGGCACTGGTGTTCAGAATCAAAATAGCAAACAGCAATGATGAGGACTTAGCATGTGTTTTGCACCTTTACTGTTGCCAGGTTCTGTGTCACATGGGTTATCTCAGCAACCTATTAGTAGATTCTTTGATTAGCCCCATTTCACAGGTGTGAAAACTGAGCCTAGAGATTAGCTAATTTGCCAAATTCCCATGACTGATAGGTGGGACCAACTCCCTCTGACTGCTGGGTCAACACAGTGATCAAAAATCAGCCCTCCAAGAATTAGGGCCATAGAAATGAAGGGTTTTTGTGACCCATTCGAGTCCAAGTATCTTCATTGTAGAGAACAGGAAAAGTGGAGGTTCAAACTGTTTAAGAAACTCAGGTGACCTTTGATCACCTGGAGCTGGGCCAAGAAACTGAGTGTCCTTTTCCCAAGTAAATGTTTGTCCTATTGTGTCATATTTCTCCTCCAGTTTAGGAAGGTCTTTCGGCAGGGGTTGGGTTGATGAAAAAATAATAATAATGTAGGAGGAAGGGAGGAATAGGGCTAGCAGCAAAGGGAGATGGCAAGGGTGTTCTGTTCTGGGCAGCGGCAGGGCAGTATGTGGACCCTAGTCACTTGGGCCTTCACGGCACCTTCTTCCACAATAGAGAACTAAAAATTGTATATTATGGTTGCATTGGTATAAAGAGGAATAATATAATATTATACATTAATTTTTTCTCATTTTTTATCTTTGATTTTTAAATAAAAATATTTTCAGGGATCCCCCAAAGTGTCAGGGACCTAGTCACTATGCCCAAGAGACAAGTGGGTCTAGCCACAGGGCAAAGAGAGGAAGGTGTTGGTTGAGTGTAGACACCCAGCTCCCAGCCTTAGGGGTGGGGTGGGAGGCAAGGAGGAGTAGGGGGAAGGAGAAACAGGCTCCATTTGGAAATGAAGATGGTAGAAAAGTACCTTGGGCACCCTGGGAAATTGGGGAGTAGGTGTCAGAAATGCCTTGGCTGCCCCAGCCTCCCTTCCTGCTAGCCACTTGGCAGATCTGGGCTTAGCATTCACACTTTTTTTAGCAGTACTAGGGTTTGAACTTAGCCACTTGAGCTGTGTCTCAGCCCTTTGTCCTTTAGTTACTGGTTTTGAATAGAGTTTCACGGTTTTGCCACTGGTGACCTGGACAGAGATCTTCCTATTTACAGCTCCCTAGTAGCTGGGGTGATAGGTGCTGACCGCCATGCCCAGCTTTATTGATTGAGATGGGATCTCGAGGATTTTTTGCCCCCAGTTTGCCTCAAAGGGTGATTCTCCCGATCTCTGCTTCTCTGTACTCTGAAGTAGCTGGGACTACAGGTGTGAGCTACAGTACCCAGCAGCACTCACACTTTTAATGCTGACATGGTCCATGGTTCCTTACAACTTCGTGGATTCTGCATCAGCATGGGTTCCACCTCCAATTCCTGGGTTCAAATGAAACCCAGCTTTGCTGTTTACTAGTAGTGTGGCTACTGTTCTCCCTTTGCCTTAGTTTTCTCTTTGGGCACAATGGGGAGCCATGAGACCTTTCTCACCTGTGGTGCCAGAGCCTTACGAATTAACTGAGATGGTGTCCATGATCCCTACTTTTCCCTGCCTGACCTCTGTGCTCACACACAGCAGGCTTATCAAGTGATCTGGACGATATCAGCGACTCCCCCGTTTAAAGTTCCCCAGGAAGACAGGCCATTGTTTCCCTATAGTCTGCATCCGACCCTTCCAATTCTGAAATTCCCGCAGAGTAGTACTGGGCCTCATCCCAAGTAGAAAGGTCCCTGGTTTCTCACTGCTCTTCCCCTTCTGCTTTCCTTCTTTCCTTCCTGGTATCAAACCTTCTCGTTCCCACCCAGCTTTTGCTTCTCTTTTGAAGCTCCCTTCACTCTTCTCTTGCTTGAGTGGTTTCCATAGTCACCTGCTGGAGCCCCAGTCCTCCATCTCTGCTTTGTCTTCTTCCTTCCTCCATGTCCAGTTTCAACCCCCCATTCAACAATCAGTGAACATTCAAGATTCAGAAAGAGAGTCAGAGTTGGGAGGTCACAGGCTGGCTAGGGGGTCCAGTTATGTGGGGAGTTAGGAGCCAGGAGGACCTACGAGGATTCCAAAGATGCTTAGGGAGGGCAGGCAGCCTTTTGAGAAGGCACCCTGCAGAGCTGAGCATCCCATCACCTTTCTTAAACCAAACTAGAGCTGTTCTGAGCAGTGTCCTCACCCTCCCAGGTCCCTAGACCTCTGAGTTGAAATGCTTGGGTTTTTTTTGTTTTGTTTTGCTTTGTTTTTTGGTGGTGGTGGTATTGGGGTTTGAACTCAGGGCTTCATGCTTATGAGCCCAAAATGCTTTTGAATCCTTCCCATAACTCCCTTGCTCATCTTCCCTGCCAGTTCTCCATCATAGCTCCTCTGCCCTACTCCCTGCCTGCTCTGGGAAGCAAAGACCAGGGCCTAGAGGGTCAAATCACTGCTCCATTCTTCTCCCACAGCACCCCCTGACTTGAAGCAGTGGACTAGTGACCAAGGGGGTGATGTGAACTTCTGCAGTGGGCCTGGACTGTGAACACCCTTTGTAAACCCCCTCCCCCAAATGCCGTCTCTCCCCAGTGACATCTTTCAGGAGACTACCGACCCAGGGAGCACCAGCTCCCATCCTAAGGCTGAGAGGTCTCTTCTGGATGGGGGCGGCTCAGCTTAGGCAGGGGCTGGGAAGCATGATATTTGTTGTTCTTGTAGAGAAGAAAAGATTCGGGATGGTCCACAGTCTCTTTAGAGTCCTACACAGTCAGGCTCGTATCTGAGTACAGGTCTCTTATCTTCCCCTGCTACTCAGACATGTGTGGTGTGTGTGTGTGTGTGTGTGTGTGTGTGTGTGTGTGTGTGGTTGTACATCCATGGGCCGAGCATTCTGTCTCACTAGGAGCATAGAAGAGGTGGGGTACTGATAGTGTGGAGACATGGGGTCCTCCCCTTCAAGGACGATGCAACTATCAATGGAGGATGCAACTTGGCATGGGTGGGGATGAGGAGCTGTTCAGCCTGATCCCTGAGTACCCCCTCCCCCATCTCCATAGCTGAAAAAGATCGGGGGCGGGGGCTTTGGTGAGATCTACGAGGCCATGGACCTGCTGACCAAAGAGAACGTGGCTCTCAAGGTGGAATCAGCTCAGCAGCCCAAGCAGGTTCTCAAGATGGAGGTGGCTGTGCTCAAAAAGCTGCAAGGTGCGGGCCTGGGCAGAGGGATGGGAGGTGCTGGAGCCAGGGGCTGAGAGGAAAAAAGGGGTTAGAGGCTGGGGGAAGAAATATGGTATGGCAGAGGGAGGAGGTGACGGAGCCAGGGTCTAAGAGAGATGGGACCAGAGTCTAAGAGAGAGATGGAGTGAGAGACTGCGTTGGTGACAGAAGGATGAGAGGGGCACATGGCTTAAGGGAGGTGATGGAGTCACAGTGTAAGAGAGGAGATGGGTCTAAGGGCAGGGGAGGAGATGGCAGAGGCACTCATGGGGCAGGGCTGTGGATCGGGAATCAAGAATGCACCAGGGGGCCCATCTTAGGCTGGACATGAAGAGGAGAGAACGGGAGTTGGGAAGCCCCTGTCTGTGCCCCTCAGGGAAGGACCACGTGTGCAGGTTCATTGGCTGTGGCAGGAATGAGAAGTTTAACTACGTAGTGATGCAGCTCCAGGTGAGTCCCCATGAACTTTCCTCCTTCCTCTCTTCCCCAAGTGCTGGGACTGTGATTTGGGTGGGAAACAGGGAAGAGAGACCATAGGTCCAAAATGGGACGAGTGACTGTGGGTATGACATTTTGGGGGCAAGACTGGGCAGTGTACCACAGAGGTGGTGGTGGAGTGCAGCTGAGGTAGGCCTCCCCTCACCCCCATCCCACCCAGGGCCGGAACCTGGCTGACTTGCGCCGCAGCCAGCCGCGAGGCACCTTCACGCTGAGCACCACACTGCGACTTGGCAAGCAGATCCTGGAGTCCATTGAGGCTATCCACTCTGTGGGCTTCCTGCACCGTGACATCAAGCCGGTGAGTATGACCCCACCACAACCCTCCTCCTCTCTGTCTCTGGATCCCGGGTTTCTACTCCACAACAGTGGTTGGGCTGGGACAGCCTCATCTACTTGAATTCCTCTGGTCTCCACCTTATGCCCCTGCTGCCACAGGCTTAAACCATTGCCCACCTGTTGGCCACACCAGGCCTAGGACAGGCCCTCATCTCTGTTCTTTTTTTTTTTTTTGGTGGTGCTGGAGTTTGAACTCAGGGCCTCATGCTTGCTGGGCAGGCACTCTACCACTTGAGCCATTCCACCAGCTCTCATCTTTGTTCTTGATTCTTTTTCTGTCCTTATTTTTTTTTTTCTTTTTTGGTGGCACTGGGGTTTGAACTCAGGGCCTCACATTTGCTAGGCAGGTGCTCTTACCGCTTGAGCCATTCCACCAGCCCTGTTCTTGATTCTTTTTCATCCCTCACCCCTGATCTGAGTAGTCCTTGAACCTATAAATCTGAAGGGGCAGGGAAGGACAGGGGGATTGAGAGAGGGGGACTGAGGGCTGGGGCTTGGCAAGGAATTCCGATTAGCCAATGATGTCTTCTTCTTGGAACTTGGTGCCACCAAAAAACCCCTCTCATTCAAAGGGACAAAAACTAGACTGGGAGCATAGCTCAAATGGTAAAGTGATTGCCTAGCATGCACAAGGCCCTGGGTAACTCCCCCAGTGTTCAAACAAATAAAGATAAATAAGTAACTAAAAAATAAAGGCATGAAAAGTGAGGTCTAGAAAGGTTTGTTGAATGGCCCAAGGACACACAGCAAGAATAATACAGGTCTGTTGCCTTAGAGCAGGACAGTTACACCAAACCACACGACCTTGCTTGGGGAGCTGAGGATTTAGGGTTGGACAGAGCAGGATTCAAAGCTACATCATCACTTGCTCTGTGATCTCAGAGAAGCCCCCTTAGTCTTTGACCTTCAGTTTCCTCATCTCTAAATTGAGGGTAGTCACACCTGCTCTGCAGACTTGTCATGCCCTGTGCCCCCTGTGAATGGGTGCTTTCCTCATGTGTGAGAGTGCGTGGGGCTGGGGTCCTTCCCCACCTACAGAGCTGTTTTTGGTGAAGCTGATAAGCTAGAGCTCAGGCTCACAGCTGCTGTCTTCCTCCAGTCCAACTTTGCCATGGGAAGGCTGCCCTCCACCTACCGGAAGTGCTACATGCTGGATTTCGGCCTGGCCCGGCAGTACACCAACACCACAGGAGATGTGAGGCCCGTGAGTAGCTCTGCAGAAGTCTTGGGCCTCCCCCAGGCTGTCAGGACAGTGCAGGTCTCCCTACCACCCCCCGATCAGGAAACCTTCACCTACTTTCCTGGAGCTGCCTAAGCTGGCCTGGTCTTGTCTTCAGCGTCAGTCTGGGTACCTGGTGAATGTCACTGTCATACCCTGTGGTCTTCCTGCCTACTCTGGGTGGGCAGCAAGGTCAGGAGGCAGATGTAGGCCTGTGAGTCAAAGAGCAGGTCCTGGTATGGTGTACAGGTTACTCCTGACCAGGTCTGCCTGAGGGGTCAGGTGCAGAAGCAGGGCTTAGGGTGAACATAGGCAGAGATCAGCTTGGTGGCCAGCTTGGCAGTGGTGAGATGTGAATGAGGTCAAGGGATGGTGCTGAGACTCCTGCTGTGGCCTCTTCTCTGCAGCCTCGGAATGTGGCCGGGTTTCGAGGGACTGTTCGCTATGCCTCGGTCAATGCTCACAAGAACAGGGTAAGTGGCAAAGCCTGGACTGAGGAATGGAACAGAAGGGCAAGATCAAGGGCGGGGTGGGATGTTGGGCAAGGGGGAGGGGGCAGCTGATTCAAGTGGGGATTGAAGAATGGAGCAGGGACTGCAGTCTGCCATGCAGAGAAGAAGGCTCTGGAAGAAGGCTCCACTATCAGTCACCCTTGACTTCTCTTCTGGGACTCTGTCCTCTCTGTACCCACGCCAAATCCCTGTGGGACCACAGATCGAAGTTTTGACTGGAATTCTGTGTGTGTCCGAGGGTCAAGGATGGAGCTGTGGCCTCAGGGAGACCCCAGCTCTGTTCATTGGGGGCTGGTTGTGGCCCCTTTCCCCGGCAGATGCTTCTTGGAGAAGGATCAGTCACCTATTCAATCCCAAGGAAGGACCTGAGAGCTGTGGGTGACTCCCTTTCTTTCCCCAGGAGATGGGCCGCCATGACGACCTGTGGTCCCTCTTCTACATGCTAGTGGAGTTTGCGGTAGGCCAGCTGCCCTGGAGGAAGATCAAGGACAAGGTGAGGCCCCCACAGCTGGCTGGAAGAAGCAGAGGGTGGGAGCAGCCAGGGCTTCATCTCCTGTGCCCTCTTGTCTCCAGGAGCAGGTGGGGATGATCAAGGAGAAGTATGAGCACCGGATGCTTCTGAAGCACATGCCCTCGGAGTTCCACCTCTTCCTGGACCACATCGCCAGCCTCGACTACTTCACCAAGCCCGATTACCAGGTGCGAGCCAGCCACTAGCAGTACTCAATCCCATCTTGGCCTGGCACCCTGCCAATCTAAGTACCTCCCCCTGGTCTGCTAACTGCACCAAACTGTCTGAGCCTGTCTGACTGAGGCAGCAGTCAGAGCCAAGATTTATCAGGAACTGACCTATTCCTGGTACTGTTCATGAATCAACTCATTCAAGCTTCAGAAGGAGACTTTGATGATTGTGTGTGTTCCTATGTTAGTGCTCCAGCACTTCAGGGCCAAGTGCTTTTAAGTATTTTACCCCAAAACTCTGCAGGAGGCCAAGTGGGATGATTGTTCTCATTTCATAGGTGGGAAACTGAGTTGTGGTGTCATGGATAGGTGCAGGGCTGGGCTCAGGTAGTCATGCATTGCTTAATGACAAGGATATACTCTGAGAAATCTGTCCTTAATTTGTCATTGTGTGAACATCACAGAGTGTAGTTACACAAACCTAGATGGGCTAGCCATTACACACATAGGCTGTGTGATATCCATGTACTCATGGCTCCTAGGGCCATCATGAACGAAACGAGATTGAATCAAACACAAGAGAAAATGATGCAAACAAGAGGCCCAGCACACACGAGATGTATGTCCTGCTGCTGGTATGACACAGCGTACCAGCTTATGTATGTAAATTATTAGTATTGTTTTTGGGGTTTGAACTCAGGACCTGGAGCTTGCTGGACAAGACCTCTACCACTTGAGCACATTCCCAGCCATTTTTTTGCTCCCTCCTCTCATCCCCATAGAGTCTCTTGTTTTTTTCCAGGGTCAGCTTTGGACCCCAGATCCTCCTACCTCCAATCTCCTGTTTACCTGGTATTACAGGAGCACAACACCATGTCTAGTTTGTTGATCAAGACAGTGTCTCAATAACTTTTTGCGTGGGCTAGCCTGGACCATGATCTTTCCAATCTCACCTCTTGAGTAGCTGGGATTATAAATGTGAGCCACCATGCCTAGACCTAAGTAAACTTTCGTATCAGTATAGGGAATACACTCTGATGATTCAAAGTATTGTATCATACATTTCACATAATTGTGTCATGTTGTCATACAACTGGCAGTGAAGTAGATTTGCACCAGCATAAACATAAGCCACCATGATGATTGCTATGATATAACCAACTACACTTCAGTCATATGGGCCACTGTCACATCTTCAGCCTGCTGTTGACCAAGACATCTCTGCAGTGCATGACTGCACATCTAACTCCAAGTTCAGTGCTTCCCGAGGCACCATCACCACACCCCTTGGGACCCACTGACCTTGACTGGAGAATGGGGGACATGTCTGGGCTAGACACAATGCTGCACACTGCAGGAAGCACAGTGTCAGGCACACAGTAGACACTGTACCAAGTGGGTCCTGCCAGCAGAGAGCTCCTGTCCTGTGTTCCAAAGTAGAATGGGCTGAGACCTCAGAGGCTCTGCAGCTGTCTGTTACTTCCTGAACCCAAAGCCCCAGTCCCCCATCCTGGCTCAGCCTTATGGGGTCCCCAGACCACACAGCAGGGAGCAGGCCCATACTGGGTCCTGTGCTGGGTGCTAGGGATGTAGAATTGGCAAATAGTTGTGTGAACAATGGTGAATGGATGCACTGTGCCCCATAGAGAGACACTGTGTGGTAGGGGGAATCGGGAGTAAGAGAGGAGAGGCACCCAGCAGAGGCACGAGCCCATGCAAAGACCTGGGTGGTTCAGGGCCGCTGATGCTCCTGCCGAGATGGTAGAAATGGCAGAGGAGCCTGGGAATGGTCAGCTGGGGACAGATCTCAGAGGACTTGTGTTCAGCTGGAGGGGCTTAAACCCAAATGATAATTTGCATGCTGATTTGCATATCTTGTGCATGTTTTCATTTACGATCAATGTGCCCTTCTCCTTCCAATGCCCCCTCTAGGCCCATCCCTGTCCTGGAAGTCCCCTCTCTTCCCCCTGCAATCCCAGCAACTGCCCCTCCTACCTGGCTAGCCCTGGGGTCACTTCTCTGTCCTCCCACCACCCCGCCCCCTGCAGTTGATCATGTCGGTGTTTGAGAACAGCATGAAGGAGCGGGGCATTGCTGAGAATGAGGCTTTTGACTGGGAGAAGGCGGGCACTGATGCCCTCCTGTCCACCAGCACCTCCACCCCGCCCCAGCAGAACACCCGGCAGACGGCAGCCATGTTTGGGTGAGTCTGAGGAGGGCCATGGCATATGGGGTGTGCCATGAAACTGTCACCCAAAAAGCCATCCTTTTCCTTCTCCTCCTTCCTGGACACCCTCGGCTGTCTCTCCTATTCTTGGTACTTACCAGTAGAATTCTGGACCTTCAGGAAAATCTGCCCCAGCTCCACTCTCACTCTGAGCACAGAATGGGCATGCTCCTCATTTGAAGCTTTTGACCTTAGTGGGTCCCTCAGGGAGCCAGGAGCCCTAAGTGAAATGACCTGAGCCCCACACTTTCTCATCCTTCATGACTGAGCATGTCTCAAGGCCGCATACCTCATGGGGCTCAGAGAGAAGTCAGTCCCTGACCTCAAAGTACTTCAGTTGGGTTGGGGGCTCTTGCTTGGGTCAGCAATGTCAGAACCATGTGAGAGGCTCAGAGGCTGAGGTGGCCCAGGGAGTCCTGACTTGCTAGCACACTGTGGCACTCGGTTCTGTGAAGAAGTTGCTCAAGCTCGGCCCTTGTGGTTCATGCCTGAATTTCTAGCACTCAGGAGGCAGAGATCAGGAGGATTGTAGTTCAAAGCCAGCCTGGATAAATAGTTCGTGAGACCCTAACTTGAAAATACTCAACACAATAAAAGGGCTGGTGGAGTGGCTCAAGCAGTAGAGCAACTGCGTAGCAAGTGTGAGGTTCTGAGTTCAAACCCCAGTACCACCAAAAAAAAAGATGTTCAAGTTGCTCCAAGGTGGTGCTTTATAAATCTGTCCCAGGGCTTAAAGAAAGCCAGGCATTGGGAGCCAAGGGAAATTGGGCAGGGTTTGAAAGCCACAGGATCTTGGGAGTAAAGAGAGTGAGGTGGGGATGTGCCAGTTCTGGGTGGCCACATCTGCAGCCCCTACCAACTTGTGAATGGTGTGGTCTCAGAAGACTTGTGGGCCAGGCATGGCAGTGGGTCTAAGAAACCACCCAATGCCAGGGCCTCTTGTGTTGCCTACTCCCAGGGAAGGCTCCAAGACCTGTGCTGGTGCGGTGAGCCTTGGGAGGAGAGGTTTCCTTGCAAACTTTGCCATGTCTCCCTCCTGACCCCTCCAGAGTGGTTAATGTGACACCAGTGCCTGGGGACCTGCTCCGGGAGAACACTGAGGATGTGCTGCAGGGCGAGCACCTGAGTGACCAGGAGAATGCACCCCCGATCCTGCCCGGGAGGCCCCTTGAGGGGCTGGGCCCTGGTCCCCACCTTGTCCCCCACACTGGGGGTACTGAGGCTGAACTCTGGGAGGAGACAGATGTCAACCGCAACAAACTCCGGATCAACATCGGCAAAGTAACTGCAGCCCGGGAGAAGGGTGTGGGTGGCCTTCTCCACACCTGAATTCTCAATCCTTGGGCCCCCCCACCCCTTTCCTCCCAGATGCCTTCTCCCCAGCCACCTGACCACTTCCCGGCCTCCGCTTCCTGGTCCCCTCCACCCCCAGCCTTGCCCCAACTCAACAGCAGCAGCAGCCTTCCATGCCTTTTACCTAAGGAAGCCCCTGCTCATGGTACCCCCTCTCCTGCAGATGCCCTGTATGGAGGAGGAGCAGAGCCGAGGTGTGGGGGTCCCCAGCTCCCCGGTACGAGCCCCCCCAGACTCCCCAACAACCCCAGTGCGTTCTCTGCGCTACCGGAGGGTCAACAGCCCAGAATCGGAGAGGCTTTCCACAGCGGCGGATGGGCGGGCAGAGCTGCATGACAGGAGGTAGGTTCCCTGGTCCCCTCTGTCTTCACATGGCTGGTCCGTAGAAAGGTCACATGCAAGGCAGGGATGGGGAGACCCTACGAAGTGTTCGGAGGTTCTGGGGTCAGGCTCATTTGGACCCTGGGAGAGAGTCAAGGCATCCAGTGTGGTCCCAGCTGGTGCTGGGTGGTTGGAGGTTATCAGGCTAGTCCAGGAGGAGTGTGGGGGTGAGTTGGTGAGTGGGTGTGCTTTGAATTCTCTTCCTAACAACTAATTATAGATGCCTCAAGAGCAGAAGAGGTGAGCTCCCTTCAGCTTAAGGGCAAGGATCTGGGAGAAGGGTTCAGGGAACTGCTAGAAGAGAGGACAGGCCAGGCTTGGAGGAGTCTGAGAGATCTAAAGTCATCGAGGAAGGGAACAGCAGGAGCATGGCTGGTGAGACGGAGGATTGGAGAGTGTGGGATCTAGGTGGAACTTTGGGAGGGTCATGGAAGGTGGGGCAGGTCAGATCCCCACCTCAGCCCTGAACCATTGTGGGGTAAGACATCACCAGGCCTAAGAGGTCTGTAGGAGCTATCTCCCCCTTCCCTTGGCTGTTGAGGGGCTTTGCTCCATAGTAGGCGTAGGCCTTCACTGTGTAAGAAAGTAGCTCTTCCTAGACACAGCTCTGAGGAGAGGGGGTTTCCTTTCTGGCACCCACCTCAGTATTTTTCCTCTTGACCCACCTCAGCCATGCATTCTCCTCAGAACTGTGCCCCAACCTCTATCCATTTGCAAGGTGGGGTACAGTGCCACTTGAGGGTGTAGACATGCCCAGATATGTCTGGGGTCCTGCGTGTGTGACAGCTCATTCATACTTACTTGTCCAGGTCATCCTCCTAGTCTTCACCACATCTTCATCCATGGTAGCCTGGAGTCCCTCAGGACAGAGGGTTCTGGACATGGAGAAATGAGGACAGGCAGTTTGGAAGGCGCTTGAGTGGAGAGTAGAGGGGAAGCTCCCTGGAGAGCTGCTGGCCTGTGGGGAACCATGAGCAGGTTGATTTGGGTCATAGTAAACTCTAGTTTCAGAAATAGTGGGGAAGAGAGCCAAAGAGAATTTTTGGAGTTCAAAATGTCACTGATAGGGCACAAGGTGGGATGACTCTGCGACACTTGGAAGCAAGAGAAAGTGTGTATAATCCAAGATGGGCCTTGGATTACATACCTCTCTCAGCCCTGCCTTCAACACTCACACTCACACATGCACTCACACTCAGCCCCTCACTTCCTTTAACACTCTCTTTCCTTTATCTCCCTCAAAACAAACCATGCTCTCAGGAGAAGTGATACCAGCCATTCACAGGGGAGTGGAAATGCAAAGCCCTAGGTGTCCTCTCTCAACAGTCTTTTATTTTAAGATTATTAACAAATCAATAAAAATGTGGAGTCCAGTGGGACTGGGGAGTCCCATGCAGGCCAGGCAGGAGTATTTTGAGGAAGGTGGCTCGTCTCTGCACTCCAGCCCTGTGCAGTTGAAGAGCCATTGAACCCCAGTCTCAGTGCTGGGAGAGAATTAAAAGTCAGTCCCTGCCCACAGCTGGACAGATCCCAGATGAGTTAGGCCTCATGGTGCTAGTTCTCTGAGGAGTACTCTGGCATCTGGGAGACAACAGTCCTTCTATAGCATCCTCTCCCTCACACACACTGTTGTATTGTGCCAAAAGTACCCTCACTTTGGGACTTTGGACTGCTACCACTCCCAACTGAGAAGCTCTGGGAGTAGTGTCAGATTGACAGTGCACTTCAAGGTAATGACAAAAATGATGCCCGGAGGCTGGAGGAACTCATTACCAGCCTGGCAGAGCTCACAGTCTCTTGGGAGAAAGAAATGTGAAAAGGTATGAGGTCCATTGTGTAGGAGACCTAGGTGTTCCCTAAGGACAAATAACTCTCCGGGCAGTATGGTAAAGTCTCCCCACAGGGAGTGCATCTGAGTGGGGTCAGAGAGCAAAAGGATGGAGGGACAAGCTGTGTGTGAGATGAGGTTGTGGTAGGGGACAGGCCTTGTGTGGGGTGCAAATGTATGCAATTTGGAGAGAATGAATGTGAGATGGGTCTGGCCTGGGAAACGGTGAAACTGGGGCTTAGGGTTGGAGGGGCCTTTGGTGGCAGGCTAACGAGTGCAGAATTCTTTGGTCTTGGGGCTGGGGTGTATGCTAAGCTGAGGGCTAGCATGGTCCTGCCTGGGGACTGTGAAATCAGCCAGGCAGGCTTGGAGTGTGGCTGGGAGTTCGAAGGCCACCTGTAAACTCAAGAAGCAGCTGGTGTGTTTGCCCTGGATGTTGCAGGAGGAAGTCCCTGAGGGGTGTGAGCACTGGACAGGCAAGAACAAAGTCAGCTATAAGAAGATTAAATCCCCAGGGTGGCCCAGAGGAGAGAATGGTTGTTTTTTGCAGGTTTATGTGCCTGGAACATGGTAAGCATTCAGGACTGTTGTTGAATGAGTGAATAGATGGATGAATGAACAAATGAACTAATGAAGTCATTCTAGGAAGTGAGATTGGAGGGTGACAATGCAGGAGAACCCTCTCCCAGACCGGGAGAGTGCTGTGGTCAGGTTTCAGGAGTCATGCTCCACTCTTCCATGGGCTCCAGTGAGGCCTTGGCACTGAGTCTCATGTGGGTGGCTTTGCAGGTCACGGATGGATCTTCCCGGCTCTCCCTCTCGTCAGGCCTGCTCCTCACAGCCTGCCCAGATGCTGTCAGTGGACACGGGCCATGCTGATCGGCAGGCCAGCGGCCGCATGGACGTGTCCGCTTCTGTGGAGCAAGAGGCCCTGAGCAATGCCTTCCGCTCAGTGCCACTGGCTGAGGAGGAGGACTTTGACAGCAAGGAGTGGGTCATTATTGACAAGGAGACTGAGCTCAAGGACTTCCCTCCAGGGGCAGAGCCCAGCACATCGGGCACCACAGATGAGGAGCCCGAGGAGCTGCGGCCGCTGCCCGAGGAGGGCGAGGATCGGCGGCGGCCAGGGACAGAGCCACCGTCCGGCCCCGGGGACGAGGCATGCAGACACTGGCTGAGGAGGACTTGCGGCACATGCCGTCCCAGCCCGTCCCACCCCAGTTGAGCCAGGCCGATGGCCGGTCAGAGATGTCACAGCCCCCCACGCCTGGCAGCCCTTCCCACTCACCCCTGCACTCGGGATCCCGCCCTCGACGGAGAGAGTCAGACCCCACAGGCCCTCAGAGACAGGTAAGGCTGGACTTGCACCTGCTCCCTGTCCCCAGAGGTCCAGAATCCTGCATGCAGGCCTGGAATTCTCCACCTTAGCGGCCCTTATCGCCTAGGAACCCAGCAGTTGCAGGGCTATGATGAAGGTAGAAAGGGTTAAGGGCCAGAAAACCATGCTTGGGGCAGGTGAGGCTTCCAAGTTCTGACTTGAGCCTTGCATTGTAAACAGAGTAGCTAGGTGACAAAGCAGGAGAAAGGCCTTCAGGCCAGGGGACAGTGTGTGCAAAGGCTTGGAGGTGGCAATTAGACAGTACATTGCCAGATTAGCCTGCTGGTCAGGTCCTGTGACCCATCACTGGGACCATGCTAAGGGGTTGGCTTTGATTCTGAAGGCTTGGTGAGGCATCAGAGGCTTGTAGACAGGAGTGCGCCATGCTGACTTTGGTACTTCTGAATAATCCCTTGGGCTGCTATGTGGAAAAGTGGAAGCAGGAAGGCCATATGGCAGGCAGTAGTGGGGAAGATCCCTGGTGGCCTCTATGGGGTAGGGACTGTGGACATGGGGAAAGGTGGATGGAGCCAAGATGTTGGAGAGAGGACAAGAGGACTGAGATGGAGGACAGGTGGAGGAGGGGACTCTCAGCTAATGCCCAGGGCTCATCACTGAGTGGTTTTGGAGGGTGTGGATTCAGATTTGGACACAATGACTTCTGGTATCTGCAGGATGTCCACATGGAGGATCCAAAGCTCAGGAGAGAGATCTCGCCTGGAAATACAGATTTGGGGGTTTTGGAACCATGCGAGTGGGTGGCATCACCCAAGAGGACTGTGTAGGGTGGGGAGACCCTCCTTATCTGGAGGGAAAGGTGGCCTTAGTAGTGACAGAGGAAGGGTCAGGGCATGGGAGGAACCCCCAGGGAGAGGTCTGGGAAATCATGGAAGGAGCAGGTAGCAGGGTGGGGTAGGCTCCATGGGGGAGGAGAACCCTGAGAGCCAGGATACGGTGATGGGAAGGGATGGTGCCAGGGCAGCGAGGCTCTAGATTGGGCACAGGGATAGGCATGTTGGGGCTCCTGGGAGGGTGTAGTTTGACTCCAGTGACACTTTATTTATTTGTTTGTTTTGAGATAGGGTCTTGATATGTAGCCTAGGCTGGCCTCAAACTCACGATCCTCCTGCCTCTGCCTCCCAAGTAGCTGGGACTACAGGCATTAGCCACTGTACTCGGCTTAGTGGCACCTCATTATGTGGGAGGACTGAGGGTCAGGGAGGGGTCAGATGTGACTGAACCCCAAATGCTGAACTGAGGGACTCTGAAGCATGTCTCATGGGATTGTGGTTATTTATTTCTGACAAGGACAGGGTGTCAGAATAAGCAGACAGCCACTGGCCTGCCTAGGCTTCTCTGTATGGGAAAGAGGCTGACCTTTGACCTGGGAAGTGGACAGTAACTCTTGTACTATGTGTGGAATGACATCCATGATCCCTCAGAGGAACTGAGGAGAGCCACAGAAGGGATGCTGGAAGGGGCTTGGGCTGTGCCTGGTTCTACTTAATGATCCTATGCTGGGTGGCTCTGGGAGGTGCCCAGTGCAGGGCTGGGGGCCAGTTCTGCCACTTGCTTAGGTTGGGAGGCCTGACCTGGGAGGACATGGGTCCTGGGAAGGGAAGCTCTGGGCAGGGTGTATCTGGCCCCATCCCTGTTGAGAGATCCTTCCTAGAAAGAAGACTTAAAAGCCATGATCCCGGGGAGTCCACATCTTGGCCTTGCCCTGGACACTCAAAAAGTGGGGACCATGAATCCCTATCTGGAGAGGTGCTAGCTGGCCTGAGGTGGAGGCTTGGCCTTGGCGGTGTGTGGACTGACACAGTTGTGTTGCGATCTGGTTATTGTTCCCACCACAGCTGGCACCAAGTAAGTCTTCATCACTCCATGAGCATTTGCTATACGCCAGGCAGCAGAGACATCAGAGTACACAGGCACAATGGGCTGTGTCCTCAGGCAGTCTTTCGAGTGCTGGTGCCAGGCAGGAAAAAACCCAGGTGAAAGTCAGGAGGCCTAGGTTTCAACCCTGGCTCTGCTGGTCCCTTTCTGGTCACTAAGGGACAGTCACCCTTCTGGATCTCAAAAAGAGGGAGCTAAGCTATCTCTGACATTGTTCTTACTTTCAGATTGGGTGTCCTGGGAATCATCCTCATATGGGGGTGAGGAGAGAGATTCCAGGGAGCAGGCACAGGCCTACTGTGTAGTCAAGTCTCAGGCTGAGGTCCTGTGCATGACGTGGATGGGGAAACGAGTGGTGTGTGTCCGTGGGGGTGAGGTGTTCGTGGACCTTGATTTCCCCACAGCGTGCAGGGGTGAATGAGGTTGGCTACCATTCTCCTACTGTGAATATACATTTCTGTGTCGGCTGCACTCGGCGTGCATTGGTGTATGGATGAGTCCGCAGGCGTGCACCTGTATGTGAGCACGCACATCGTGTGTCTGTGTACAGCATGTGTAGGGCTAGGAGTGTGTAGGAAACCACAGATGGCCAGAATGTCAAAGCGGGAAGGCCAATAGCAATGAGAGCAAGAATTACACTGATGATGATAGCAGCCATTGATGCGAAGGCACTTTCACATTTATAAAAGTGTACATTCCTCAAAACCCTGATTTGCTGAATGAACAAACTGTGGCTCAGAGAAGCTAAGTTTCTAATCCAGGATCACCAGCTAGTCCATGGAGAGCCAAAACTTGAACCCAGGCAGCTGGGTCCAGGGTCTGTGTTTTGAGCCACTCAGTCTGAGGCCTGTGTGTTTAGTAAACAAAGAAGCAAACACAGGCCAGAGAAGCAGACTGTCTTTGCAGGGTCAGAGAGCACCTGGAGAGTGTGTGTGTGTGTGTGTGTGTGTGTGTGTGTGTGTGTGTGTGCCTATGCATACCTGCTGACTAGCTGTATCTGCAGGTATGTCATTGTGCATAGTGGCCTCTGTGTGTGCCTGTGGGTGAACAGAAGGGGCAGGACACATTTTGACAAGTATTTCAGGACAGAAGGGTCTTGAGGCAAGAGCCTCATTCTTCGAGGGTAGAGGAGGGCAAACTGGACCAGGACCGCTTGAACTGGCCTGAGGCTAGGTGAGGGTTCCACACCCCGCTGCACACTGCAATCAGTTTGTGAGACTTTCCACTCCAGGGTGATTAGAAGTCTCTGGGGACACTCTTGGTGCTTCCCCGGCTACCTTTCTTTGAGGATCCCCTCCTAGACCTGGCACAGTCAGCTCCGTGTCTGATGTGTGAACTTCTGCCCAGCCGCAGTCATTGTCAGCATGAGCCTCAGCAACTCTGTCACCTGCGGCTGTGGGGAGCAGGGTTGGATGACATGGGACCAGGCAGTGTTAGCACCTGTTGGTCTTCGGTGTGCATGGCGTGGACACACCTGGCTTTCTACTCAAGGGGGTTTCAGGTGCAAGTTAGAGGAGCCTGGACAGCTTAGGCAGAGTGTGTGATTTGGGGGAGGGCTGTTTGCCTCCTTTGCTGGGCGCTTCTGGCTGATAGCACAGCAGGTTAGCATTCCCTGAGTACACAGACATTTGCTGGAAAGCCACCAAAACATTTCCCTGTCACGAGCTGGGCAGTGTGCTAGGGGCTGGGGGACAAAGATGAACAAGGCTTCTTTCACAGTCCTGTGCTTTCAGAGCCCACAGTCAAGAGGCACGAGGGTACGAAGGTCTCCGTTTATAACTGGGGCTGTCAGGAGAATGGAGAACTCCTATCTGCTAGGATCAGGGACTTGCGGGGAAGCTGGGGTGTTCTAACAGAGGTCACTTTTTGGCTGTGTGTTGAGGACAAGCAGGTTGCCACAAATGCTACCTGGCCTGGAAGGCAGGAGCATGCTGGAATTAGCCTCAAAGCCCAGTGGCAGCTGACAAACTCTGGCTGGATGTTACACTCAGGCACCCACATGTGTTGTGAGATGGGGCTGTGGGCACCTGCAGGAGCCTTAGTCCCCTAATCCTCACTGCCAGCTTGAAAGGACCTGGGACTTGGCTTAAACGAAGCTGACAGAGGAAGCAGGCTAGGGCAGACGATCCTATTAGGATGTTCTTTTATCCCCTCCTCTGCAGTAGTCCCATGCCAAGTCCTTGTGCCCCCATTTGACATCAGCAAGGGATGCAGGAGCCAAGTGTCCCCAGCTCTCCTTAGCCTTCTTGAGCTGGCCTAGCCAGTTCTCACTGCCACACCACAAACTAGTTAACTGGCTTCAGCTCCAGGAGGAGTTTGGAGTTGGGATGGGAAAAGTCTGGTGACCAGGTCACCATCTGCATTCCCACATAGCTAGGACGCCTTCCCTTTCCTTCTGAGGACATGGGAACAAAGGCAGGATTCTGGCTGACAGCAGCCAGTTGAGCCCCTCCAATGGGCCACACCCCTTCAGAGACCATGCCCTTCCAGGGGCCTGGTGCTTTGTCTTCAGTGGCAGGGGGAAGGCACCTTAGAGAACCAATTAGCCTCTCCACCCACCTGTCCTCATTCTGAACAGTGACTTGATACTAAAGGGACCCAGGAGCACAGCAGTCACGCCAGGCAGGCACTGCTCTGAGTGCTCTGCATGCTAGAACATGTACCCTAACACTCTGAGGTGGGCACCACTTTTAACCCCTGTTAGGGAGGAGAAAGCTGAGGCACAGGAAGGTGAAGTAATGTGAGGTCACCCAGGCAGTAAGTCCTGGAGTTGGATTAAAACATGAGTACTGGGGGCTGGGTGAGTGGCTCAAGTGGTACAGCACCAGCCTAGCAAGTGTGAGGTCCTGAGTTCACAACCCAGTACCACATTAAAAAAAAAAGAAGAAGAAGAAGAAAAGAAAAAAGTAGTGGGTTGGGGTTGGAGCTCAGAGATACAGCACTTGCCTAGCCTGTGCCAGGCCCTGGGGTTCCAACCCCAGCACTGCAATAAACACATCTCTTGCAAATGATTAGCTGGCCTCCAGTCCCCAGTCACTGCAGTGGAGACCCTGACACCTCCCTGAGATGGGGCTGG